TCACCATGTCTCCAGGGGAGCCAAAAAGACCTGTGCCAGCCCAAAGCACCAAGAAACACTTAGGAAGGGGAACGCCAACCGCTTGGAATATTGCCACAGACCTCGTTCTCTGTCAGCTGGAGACGATCACGGGAGACCTTCCCGTTGGTGGAAATTCTACAGATGAGAACAGTGAGGCACGACAGAGGATGGGAGGAAGCACTCAGGTGCTGGCAGCCAGAGGAACACCAGGATGTTCTCACGCTCCTTGGCACTGATGACTCACCCACGGCGCTGCTAGGACTGAAATCGACAGGTAATGCCAATAGGGTCCTATTTGATGTGTGTAATACTAATAGAAATGTGGGAAAAAAAACTTTTTAGACCGGGCGCGGTGGCTCACACCTGTAATAGCACTTTGGGAGGCCAAGGCAGGCAGATCATGAGGTCAGGAGTTCGAGACCACCCTGGCCAGCATAGCGAAATCCCGTCTCTACTAAAAATACAAAAAATTAGCTGGGCATGGTGGTGTGCGCCTGTAATCCCACCTACTTGGGAGGCTGAGGCAGGATAATTGCTTGAACCCGGGAGGCGGAGGTTGCAGTGAGCTGAGATCACACCACTACATTCCAGCCTGGGTGACACAGTGAGACTCTGTCTCAAACAAACAATCACTTTTTAAAACTAGGTCTAGTAGGCAGCAGTCTACCATGAGTGCCTAAAACAACATCTGGCGCATAGTAGGTGTTCGACAAATATTTGCTGAATAAACTCCATTGCCGCTTGCCCAATTCCCAGATTTTGCTCAATAGACCCAAAACTCCTTGAGTTCTGGGGAGGCTGGTCACCTGCGTAACACCACAGGTGTATGCTGTGAACCTTCCAGAGCCTCCTAGACAGGGAAGTACCTGGACCTCCTGGCACCACTGAGGGCTGGTTCTGAGCTGACACTGTTTCTGGCAGCCCAGGATGTCTCCAAGCCTGCCACCAGGAGTGAGGCTTGCCAGAGGCAGTGGCACGCAGGCCATGACGAGAGCGGTGCCCTGCGTCCACCTCGTGGCAGCCCACTGGGATCCCAAACCTGTCCTGTGACAATTTCCCTAGCTCCTGAATGCTCAGGTGACAAGCACATGCCAGGGCGTGGCAAGAACTCCATCGTGGCTCCCTGAGCCATGTGTGGAGGCTTCTATGGTGGGAAAGGCTACGTGGATGGCTCTGCAACACCCTCCCCTCCACAACTGTGGCTCATGAGCAACACTTCATCTCTGGAGATGGAGAAACCACCAGCACCCAAGGCAGAAAATGCGGCTGCATTCCCCCTTAACTTGCCAGGTAGGCTCGTGCAGGAGACACGGGGCCTTGAAGATGCAGCGGACAGCTATGGGCTCAATCAAGTGCATTCTCTCAACAGCTGTGCTGTCCCACTTATGACCTCCCTAATGGACTGAACCTGTCACAATCCTTGACATAGTACAGAGCCACTGACTGGATGAAAACTGTCTCTGTGTGTGTGCACCTGTATGTACACCTGTGTGTCTGTGTGTGTGCCTGTGTGTCCCAAGTGTGTATGCATGTGTGTCTATGTGTTGCCTGTGTGTGTGTGTGCCCGTGTGCACCTACGTGTGCCTCTGTATGCCTGTGTGTGTTCCTGTGTGTGTGTTTCCTGCTGCAGTACTCAGGAATCCATGGAAGTGGGTTCACTTCCCTGTCATGGGGCACAGCATCCCACCTTCATGACATGTCTTGGCTCAATGATTCTGTGCCACAGTTTAGCCAACAACGACCTTGACTTTTCTCTCCCGAGGACCTCATGCGGGCCTTCTGCACACTGCTAGGTCTTGGAGGAAACCAAGTAGCAAAGTACCCTAAGTGTCAGGACATACATGTACCAGAGTGCAGGACACACATTCTATGAAAATACAGGGACCTGCCACTTCAGTGATGGCTCCAGGCAGGCAGCAGGCATGTCCAGCTATCTGGAACATTTTGAAATACCCCCTCGAAAGCCAAAGTCATGCTTGGCACACACGATGCTGGGAGGGCCTCTGGATTTTTGAGACATATTTTCCTCTTGGGTGTGCTGCTCCTCTGACTCATTTGCTGGGTGACCCCCAAGGCGGTGTACCTGTGTGGGCCCCTGGCAGGTGCAGGCTCTCCGAGTGGTCTGCCTGCACGGGGAGGGACTCTGCCACACGGCTGTCATGCCCCACAGATCCCACAGTGCCCAACGTGCTCGAGCAGATCTGTATGCTGTGTACAGTCTGCACCAAGTGCCACCAGAAGTCACACCTGGGGCCTTGGGGTCCTCCTCCTGGGCTTGGTGGAGACTCGCTGCATCTCGGCTAACAGAGTCTGACTGGGAGACCCGGACAATCTGAGGTTCCCAGAATGAAGTGGGCCTTTTCTGGCCCAGTCCAGCACCCATCATCAGGGGAACCTCATAGGACCAATCCCTGGGGACACTAGGAGGCACCAGGCAGTGACTCAAGCACGTAGCTCCCCTGCCCGCCCCACAGCCTGTGTCCTCATGGGGTATTCCTTACGACCAATGTCCAAGAGGAGTAAGTATGAACTCCGCTGTCGGTGGCTCGGCAAGGCCCACTCACACGGCCAGAAGTGGACTGCTGTGCCAGTCAGAGCCCCTCCCATGTGGACAGCAGAAAGGAGACCCTCTGAGGGGCACAGTTGATCTCCCTGTGGTGTGCATGGGGAGGCCTCAGGTGTCTCAGGACCTACAGGGACCTGAGGCAGACACATGGCAGAAAGTATGGAAAGTCGTCTCCGAATAGATGGGGAACTGGAGGACAGCGTGTCTCTGCAGTACTTTCCCAGGAGCCTCCCAGGCAGCAGCACGCAAGGTGGCTGAACAGAGATGTCCAGCGGCTTCTCCTCCAGCCACACTCTGCCTGCTCCCGGAGCTTCTGGGGCCAGCTGGGTGACTCAGATTCTGCCCAGGCATCTCAGATTCTGTCCAGCCACCTTCCCCTCACCTGGGCAACTCCTTGCCACCCTTGCTGTGGCTGCAGCAGAACCAAGGTCCAGGGCTCACCATTTCACAAATACACTCACATTTCCTTATTTCTTTCCTTCCTTCCTTCCTTCCTTCCTTCCTTCCTTCCTTCCTTCCTTCCTTCCTCCCTTCCTCCCTTCCTCCCTTCCCTCCCTCCCTCCCTCCCTCCCCCCTTTCTTTCCTTCCTTCCTTTTTTCTTTTTCTCTTTTTTTTGAGATGGAGTCTCGCTCTGTCACCCAGGCTGGAGTGCAGTGGTGCTAACTTGGCTCACTATAACCTCTGTCTCCCGGGTTCAAGCAATTCTCCTGCCTCAGCCTCCCAAGTAGCTGGGATTACAGGCGCCCACTACCAGGCCCAGCTGATTTTTGTATTTTTAGTAGAGATGGGGTTTCAACATGTTGGCCAGGCTGGTCTCGAACTCCTGACCTCAGGCAATCCACCCCCGACTCCACCTCCCAAAGTGCTGAGATTACAGGCATGAGCCACTGCACCGGCCCACACTCACATTTTCTAATAAAACCTTCACACTAACCCTGAAAGGTGTGGAGGGCGTGGAATCATCACCCACATCTTTCAAAACAAAGACCCAGGTGGTTATGTGACTATCCCAAGATTGCACACCTCCTCAATGACAGAGTCAGCATTTGAAGGGGGTCTGAGCTCTTCCAAGCCATCTCCTGCACTCACCAGCACAGGTTCCCGAAAGGCCGCCTTCTGCCCTCTCCACTCTTGATGCCTGTATCACTTCATTATCGCTGGGGGTGGGAGCTGATGCCAGGCCCTCAGAGGGGCTGAGGGCAGGGCTCCTGCAGGTCTGTCCTGGGTCACCTGGCTTCCTGCCCCTTTCACCAGAGCTCTCGGCCACAGAACTCCGACCCCAACCTCTAGTCTTCAACTCTGGGAGGAGGTGACAGCACAGCCAAGTAGGGCGCCCTCCCCCCCTCCCGCCCCTCCCGCTCCAACAGCCCCACACACGTCTGCCTCCACCTGGACCCGCAGCTGATAGCTGGCGGCTCTTCCCCGCCTCGCCTTTCATCCAGTTGCTCCCCCAGTCGGAGGCCAGCACCACCGGCGTCGCAACCGCCCTCCCGCTTGCTCACCTGGGGAGGTGGGGCTTGGCAACCTGTGGCCGGCCACCCCTGACAGTGCCCCGGAGCCCCCTGCCCACTCTGGGGTTCCCGTGGGGGCAGCGAGGTGGAGGCGTCCCAACTGAGTAGGTCTGGATGGTGAGCGGACCCGGAAATCGGGCCAGAGAGGGGGCACCCCGGGCAGGAGCCCAACAGCTCCGACCCCAGTTCCAGCTCCTTGTCGCTGCTGCGCCCTCACGTACCCTCAGCCCGGGGAATAACACAACAGCAACCACTTCTCCGGCACCCACCGGGCCGGCACCAGCCCTCCTTCCCGAAACAGGCGGTACTGCGCCAAGCGGCAGAGGCTCCGAGTGCCCCGCGCGCCCAGGCCGGTCCGGGCAGAGGCTCCGAGTGCCCCGCGCGCCCAGGCCGGTCCGGGCAGAGACTCCGAGTGCCCCGCGCGCCCAGGCCGGTCCGGGCAGAAGCTCCGAGTGCCCCGCGCGCCCAGGCCGGTCCGGGCAGAGGCTCCGAGTGCCCCCGCGCGCCCAGGCCGGTCCACGCAGAGGCTCCGAGTGCCCCGCGCGCCCAGGCCGGTCCAGGCAGAGGCTCCGAGTGCCCCGCGCGCCCAGGCCGGTCCAGGCGCGGGGAGGCCGGTTCAGGCGCTCGCCCTTGCCCCCTCAGGGGCTCGCCCGGGTCCGCCGTCCCTACCGCCCCCTACGGAGCCCCCTTCTTCCCCGTGCTCTAGGGGGCCCCACTTCGCAGGACGCCGCCTCCGGTCTGCACGTCGGAAAGTTGGGAGCGGCGTGGAGCCGCGAGGGTGTCCCCACCCACCGGGTGCCCAGGGGACTGCCCCGGGCGCAGCGGCCAGCGCAGGCTGTGCTCCTCCCCACCCGCGCAGGGCGCCGCGAGCCCGACCGCAAGTCCTGGACGCCAGCTCTCACCTTGAAGAAGCTCCGGAGGAAGTGCACGACGCTGAGCATGGTGGCCGCCGGGGCGCACGGAGCCCGGCCGCAGCACTACGCGCCTCCCCGCGCCGCGGAGCCGGCTCCACCGACACCGCCCCGCGCCCCGCCCTAGGGTCCACCCCGGCGCCCGCGCTGGGACGCTCCGCCCCAGCAAACCTGGCCACTCGAGGCGCGTGAGGGTTTCTGAGCGCGTCCAGGCTCCTGCCCCGCCCTCCCCCCGGCTTTGGTCACCCGCGGGACTGGGCACGCACAGACACACAGCGAGCTGACCACAGACCCGGCCCACGGGCCCCCGGGATCGTCCCGCCCAGCGGAGCTCCTGGGCCGCCTGGGAGCCTAGGAGTGTCTTCTCAGAGAGAAAGCAGCAGGCGGCTTGCATTTGCACGTCTCCAGTTTGGCGCGGGTTCCCTCGGCCTGCCCTCCGCACAGGACACTCAGGTGCCTCCGCCCTCCTGGGGGCAGGGGCGGCCTCTCTGCTGAGTTGTGATTGTCAAGCTCGGAGAACTTTCAGAGCTCAGTCCGCCCAGCGTTCTTGTTTATCAATTGTGGAAACGGAGACCCAGAGAGGCTCCGCAGCGCGCCGGCACTCACACGCCTGCTGGGGACAAGTGTGGACTAGGATACCTGGGACCGAAGTCTTGGCTTCCAGCTCCCTCTTGTCTCCCACCTACCTTTCCAGGTATGTCTTGCAGATAGGATGTGAGTGAATAGTCACACCCATAACCATTCAGGAGCGCAGCTTTCTGCTAAGGGGCAAAGGGAAGTCCTCGCTGCTTTCTTTGCAGGGGTTAAGGAGGCGGGGCCTGCCCAGGAAACTCTAACCAGCCCTAGGACGGCACTATTTTAAAATCAGAAGAAAAAAACTGAGTATAATAAAATAATAATGAGTCTAGCCTGGAGTATATTCATAAAGATGAATATGAATGCAGTTGTAAACTCTAATTTTAAATGTTTTATTTTATGCAGGAAGAGGCCCACGAAGGTTAAGACCCCAGGGCCCATGTGCACCGTACTGCAGCCCTGTTCTGTCCACCATTTCTGGGATCGGCGCCCCACAGAGGAAGAGCATCTGCCCAGACTGGCCCTTTGCACCCCCGCTCAAGCCTTGCACCCACGCCCAAGTCCTAGCCCCACTGAACGCTATGCCTGGTCAGCAGTGCGTGTCCAGGGGTGCTGGTAGTGTGTGTATTTTCCCTACACCCAACCTGTCTCTGCCTCTCCCCAGGCCCTCAGAGCAACCAGGCCAGGGCGAGAAGCTTGGGAGATAGAAACCCAGAGGACGCACTGTGAGGCCATCTGAAGATCCTGCGTCCCCTGTCCCACCCTTTTTGTCACCCAGGGTCCATGACTGTGCCAGAAGCACGTCCCTGAGGCCCATGGTGGTGGGAGGAGGGCGTGGGATTGGGATCTGGCCACCTGGCCGTGCTGCACACCAATTGTGTAATCATGATCATCTGCTCTAAACACGTATCTTTAACATTGGAAAGGAATGACCGTCTGGTGGGGTTGCCATGGAGAGTACGTGAGAAATTAAACCTCACAGGTGCTCAGCAAAAGTTAATTCCCTCTTCTTTGAAGGCTTAAAGCGCTAATCCCCTGGAGGGTCCAGTGAAAATACACAACACCTGGCCACAGGTTCCATTGTTATCTGGACTCCTCTGTCTGACCAGTGGACAGCCCTGGACCTGGCTTCTCAGACCTGAAATCAGAACCACGTAGAGGGCACCATAGAGCTTAGGCTGCTGCCCCTCACCGCTGCCACCCTGGCGCAGGATCTGGGGTGGGGCCTGAGGATTTGCATTTTAACGTGTTTCCAAGTGACCCTGAAGCTGCGGGCACTGGGACCACACTTAGAGAACCCCTGGTTCAGGCTCTGGAGCCTGGGCCAGCCTCCCTGTGTAGCAGAGGATCAGACCCCAGCTTGGAGGATAACCGTCAGGGTGGCTCCATTCATCAGGCATCTGCTGTGTCCCCGCATGCCCAGATCCCTGCCACAGCGCAACCTCCCTGGAGGAATGACATCCAGTGCTCAAGGGGAAATAAGTTAGAGGTAGTTTATGTCTGTCTTTTCGTTCTGGCGAACACGGTTTTAGGAGGATTTTACTGTACTGTGGTATGCTCTCTCTTTTGCCAATATTAAAAATAAGAAAGACAGGCCTGTTTGATTTGCTGAAGGATTTGTACAATAGGGTTTCTAGTCAGTGGAGCCTCCCATGTTTAAATATGACCCCGACTTCATGTCTGCCACATATAGCAATTAAACCGGTTCAGCAGCATAGGGGGGTGAAGTGAGTGGTAGGAGAGAAAAACATTGCAGCAGGTGCCAAGTGGCAGGGAGAATGTGGGCACGGGGTGGACTGATGGAGCTTACAGGGGCCTGTGCTTTCCTCGCTGGGCAGCCTGGGCCACCCGCTTTACTTCGCTGACCCAGGGACCACAGGCTCACATAGACACAGACCTACACTACCAACTGGGGCCTGAGTCACAGAAGACAGAAATTTCCCCTGGCTACTGAAGCAGGAAAGGGAGTTTTGCAAGAAGATGGAGTAAGGCATAGGCAGGTGGAGGGTGCTGACCCGGGAAACAAGCAGCCAGCCAGCCACGACAGCAGTGGCAGCTGGAGCTCACCAGACAGACTAGCCACTAGGGAGGCTGGGGCTGGTGCCTCTCCCTGAAGCTTTGCTGGTAGACTCTGGCCTCCTGTAATCTCTGCCAACAATCCCTGGGTCCCTGCAGCTCCAAAGATGTAACGTCCAGGACCACCCACGTGTTGCTGTCCGACTGCTGGGGGAGCCTTTGCAAGGAGGGCATGAGCCTTCAGCTAGCCTGGTGGGAAGCCGGCCTGCTTGTACAGCTGTCACAGGTCGGGGACAGAGATCAGGGACACGTTGGAAACAGAATCTTAAAAGAGCTCCTCAAGTCAGAAAACTGGGCTGACCCTAAAGATGGCATTCTCCGGGGTGAATGCATAGTGCCGAGTTCAGACCACGTGATCCTGACAGCGGGCAGCGCCTGCAGAGAGCAAGCTCGGACAGACAGGGAGGGGTAGTGGCAGGTGGTCAGCCACAGACAGGCGCGGGGACGCTGGTGTTCCCTCTAGGCTGGACCCAGGAGGAGGCAATGCCCAGGAGAGGGGCTCCACTGCTCCTCCCCAGCTCTTCAAGTTACACTTCCTCCCTCTCTCCCTCCCTGCCTCTCTCTCTCTCTTTTCTTTTCTTTCTTTTCTTTCTTGCCTCACTCTGTTGCCCAGGCTGGAGTGCAGTGGCACCACCTCACCTCACTGCAATCTCCACCTCCCGGGTTCAAGCAATTCTCCTGCCTCAGCCTCCCAAGTAGCTGGGATTACAGACATCGACCACCACGCCCAGCTAATTTTTTTGTTTTTTTTTTTTGTTTGTTTTTTGGTTTTTTTGAAACAGAGTCTCGCTCTGTCGTCCAGGCTGGAGTGTGGTGGCGCAATCTCGGCTCACTGCAAGCTCCGCCTCCCAGGTTCTCGCCATTCTCCTGCCTCAGCCTCCCGAGTAGCTGGGACTATAGGTGCCCGCCACCACGCCCAGCTAATTCTTTTGTATTTTTAGTAGAGACGGGGTTTCACTGTGTTAGCCAGGATGGTATCTATCTCCTGACCTCGTGATCCGCCTGCCTCGGCCTCCCAAGTGCTGGGATTACAGGCTTGAGCCACCACGCCCGGCCTTTTGTATTTTTAATAGAGACGGAGTTTCACCATGTTGGCCAAGCTGGTTTTGAACTCCTGACCTCAAGTGATCCACCTGCCTCGGCCTCCCAAAGTGCTAGGATTACAGGTGTGAACCACCATGGCTGGCCTTGCGTTACATTTTCATGGGGACTTGGGGCAATTGGAAGTGCATCCACGGCACTTGCAGACTGGTGATCTTGAAATGATAGCGTGTGGGAGAGGCGTGGGCTTCCTTTAAGGGCCGCCAGAGCCAGGACAGGGGTGCCTTGTGCTGTGACATAAGGAAGCTCCCCTACCAGGATAGACAGAACAGCTGCCAAAGAGGCGGAGCCAGGCAGGGGCCACAGGCCTGTGAAGGTCTCAGCAGAGCCCCCAGGAGAGTCCGACTTGCTGCAAGCGGAGCCCATGGCTCTGCAGTTCCAGGAGAACTGTTTGTGCCCCTTGCCCCACTGCCTGCCAGCTGCCCCCAAAAAGGACCAGAGGATCAGAGTAGCCCCATTCCAGACGAGGCGCGGGCACCATGCTGTCGCCATCTGCTGCCCCTCTTTCCATCTTTCCATCTGACTTCCTGCGTGGCCCAGCATCCGGGCTGCCTAGGGCCGAGGGAGACCTGGAGAGCCGTTGAAAACAACAACTGGCAGCACGTGGGCATGCGTTTGGCGCGCACAGAAACTCACACGGAACAGACAGGGAGCGGGAGGTGAGCAGAGCTGCCTGTATTTCTCTTACCCCCCGAGGAAACTGGGGTTCAAAGGGGTAAAGCACCTTGTGTGTTGGCCCCAGGAGTGAAGCAGGAGGGGCCAGCCTCCAGGAGGACCGGCACAGTTGGGTGAGGGACAGGGGAGCCGAGAGTGCAGGGTGCGGTCAGGACCTGGGGTGGCCAAGCAGCGTGAGGTGAGCCCAGAGCCCCAAGGTCTCTGAGATGCTGCACAGAGGGGCATTGAAACGAGCCAGGATTTGAGGAGGAGAAGGGAGGAGGGGAAGGAAGGCTCTTGTGCAGACCTAAGGTGTGGGGAGGGGATGTTCATTGACCCCCCGAACTCTCCCCCGCAGGACTCTGGCCAGGCGCCACCCTGGAGGCAGCAGAGCGAGGAAGGTCTAGTGGGGATACATGAGGGTGACGCCTTCAGAGAGCTCTGCTGTACACCTGTTGCTTCCCACCCTCAATCACACCTCTGGGGCCTGGGAGCTGCTGGGGACACATTGACTGGAAGGGGCTTGGGGGCACAAGGAGTGAGAACCGGAGAAGGGCGGGGCAGCCCAGGGATTGGCAGAGCTGGCCTCAGAAGCTACTGGTCCCACTGAGATTCAAGTACCCCTGCCTCTTCCCCAAGTTACAGACAGAGTGAA